AAATCCTTAGGCTGAAAACCCGATAATAATATATCATGGGTCAAATAACTACTCCATATGTCGATCAACTCCAATTGCAACCCGGGAGACGAAGCAGGGAACTTTGATTTAAACCAAACTGGTCCCCTAAGTTGACCATTTATTTGTCCAAGATTTACAGTGAACGGGGCCAAGGTCGAATCAAAGGAAGATTTAGTCAACAAAAAGTGGAGGTATTTACAATAGGTAGTCTCATCAGTCTTATGGCGAGGATGGCGGGAGGATAATCGGGCCCCTTCTATATTTACACTTGGGGGAACGGTAGAAATCCGGGGAAGGATACTTTCGAATATCGAAATTAACCACAATTGAATAAACCAAACAGGGCCGGAAAAATTCCCCGATGCCTTAGGGGTACTCAAAATATCGACGACTTCGTCGAAAGCAAGTATATACATGTGCTAATAAAGTTTTGGCTAAACAAAGTCTAGGATGGCCTAGGTGAAGGAGATATGCAAGATTGAACAAATGGGGGGAAATTTGGATTGAACGGGGGCAAAAAACATGGGTGCATAACCAATACACCAAAAATGCTACGTGCTCTTCGTCAGTAACTGCTATCGAAGGGTCATCAACAAAGTGCTTCTCGAGAAAATGCCCATAGGCCTTCGACTCCCAATCTATTTTTGACCTCAATGAATTATCTGAAGGATATGTACCCGAAAAATACCTCTCCCCTATGGGTTTCAACCCAGTAATAGCAGCAACCTCGAAAAGGGTTGGCGACACAGGGCCACAAGGCAATTCCAAAACATGTAAGTCTTTATTCCATAAATGCACCGCAAATAAGAACATCGCCATGTCCAAATGAGACAAATCACATCGGGACAGGTGCAGAAAATCAAAAATACCAGTACTCCTCCAGTGATCCCCAAACTTAGCCTTAACCCTATCAAACCATCGAATATACAGAGGTTTTTTGGAAGGAGGGCCTGTCCGATATACCCTAGAAACAATACTCAAGAAATCGATTCTAATTTTAGGTTGGTGAACAAGAGCTGGGCTTTTTGAGAGGTTGAGGGGGGAAGTAGCTCTACTACCAAACAGTATAGGACCCCCAAAAGCAAAATTAACCCCTTCGACAGTGTAAGGGATGAGTACCTGCGTTTCGGCAATTTTTTGAGAAGCCTCTTCCATCAGAGGCAATGGAGCAAACTTCTGATTATTAATCTCCAGTAAAGTAGCAGCGGATGAAGTAAGAGGGGGAGCTGAGAAATCGGATGATTTGGATGAAGTGGCCATTGGAGAGAGCTTAGAAAAGTAGAAAGGAAGGAGTTGATAGATAAGATAACAGGAACGAAGGCAAGAGCTCAGGGAAGAAGACGAGGTTGCAAAAAAGATAATGGTTCGCGTAAAAACCAGAGTAGAGACTAAGGGAAAGGTTAAGGGGAAATCACCTAGGGAACTGAAGCGACGGAAAGGACAGGTAATTAATGTAGCTTATACTGAAAGGTAACAGACTGACGAGACAAAGACGTAAAGTAGAAAAGAAACCTAGAACCCCAGAAACCCTAAACCCTAAAGCTCTATGAGCCTCCGAATATTTAGGCGGGAATGTTGAAAGAATATAAACAGATTATTCATATTCTTCCAAGGGGGCATTTTGTTAGTGTGGAATCGAGAAGTATGCTAGAGAAACAAATATATAGGGAACTTTTTCGATGTCTAAATTATAAAAGGGATGATACATATAATCGAAAGGCAGAATCTGAAGAGTAGGAATAATAGTTCAAAAATTTAACATAGAGCAAACCAAGAAATTTGAAGTGCATAACGTTAAGGTTAAAATAAATCGATGTCGGGTATGCAAAGTGCTCAATAAAATCGAGATCAAAGGGAAGGCTCATTTACGTAGATATCGAAACCCTTACTAAACCTTGAAGGGAATTAGTCAAACGCACGCAGGGTAGCAGTTTCTCAATCATGGAAGAGACGAGGATCGTGAGAACGTGGGAAAACCGTAAAAAGGAACTCGTCATGTGCACGTAAAACGTGGTATCGGTCTTGGTAACCGCTCTCGGAAAGCTTGAACAACGCCCTATAAATAGAACAAAGAAAGGAGAAACAGGGGGGCAGAAATTGGCAGAGAACAGAATCAGTAGTGAAAAGTCTACCGGAGAAACGACGAACACCATGAAGTTTCTGGCAATCTGGATTTCCTTGCTCACTGAGTACATTTATCGCTTTCTGTATTTTCCTTGGTAATTTACTTTCGAGCCATTTCAATTCAGCAATTTCATATTCTTGTATATTACATTCAATGTCATTTCGATTCCCTGTTATTTACTGTTTATGCAATCTTAATGGGTTTTAGCAATTTACATTTCCCGCACATTTCGATTTCCTGTTATTTACTTTTTGTGCAATCTTAATGGGTTTTAGCAATTTACATTTCCCGCACATTTCGATTTCCTGTCCTTTATTTCTCTCGCAAACTTAATTTCTTGTCATTTACGTTTTCGCTGTTTCCGATTCTTGGTCATTTAAAGTTAATGCATATTTGGGGTTTTCGCACTTTCTTGCAATTTAATATTCTCTTTTCTCGATTCGATACTGCTTTGTTTGAGTCGAGCGTTTTAGACATAAAATACCAAAAATAGGATTTCTTGATACTTATAGTTTTTGACTCTCATACATGTTTTCGATTGAAAATCAAATTGCTAGCCTAAGTAAAAAAGAACTTACGTGGTAGAATTTCGATTAGGACCAAAACACCCTTAGGATCGAAATCGATCAAAATTCCACCAGAAACAACATGCAAAACTTTAAATGAAAACCCCGTTTCATTCTTTTACTTCATTTTTTTTTCAAACGTAATACTCAAAATTTACTGATAGCTTTATTTTCGTTATTCTCATTATTATAAATAAAAACAACGTAGTCTATTTCCAATCCCTTATCGAACTCCCTATGGTTTACCTGTTTATTTGATTAATTATAAAAAAATGAGTTTATTTTGATTAGGTGATTAATTTATCATTTAAAATGTTTTTAGATCCATCTTTAGATACTATAAATTATACAATTGAACAGTAACTTAGATAAATAACTAGATAATTTTAAATTTAAAACCTATTTCTTTACTTTCGAGTTTTCCTCGTAGTAGAAACCTATTTGGATCTATTTTTTATCAGATCTTCAAAAAAAAAAAATTCTGGTCAATATAACAATCATAATCTTATTATATTATACGGAATAAGTTAATTCAATTTTTTTTTTCGCTTTATACATCGACATGCGTGAAGCTAAACAAAAATGACAGGTTTTTTTTCCTTTTAACTTAATATATCCTAATAAAAATTATATATATATATATATATATATATATATATATATATATATATGCAGAAACTTGAAGTTATGTGTTGTATGTGGGGGAATATTTACTTTATTATTTGGTTAAATTAAATATGAAAAGGTTTTTATTATTTTTTAGAATATGAGAAAAAAATATTTATTTTAATTTAAGTAAGTATGTTGATATATTTTTAATATTTGATATTTTATCATATTTTTATTTTATAGATACATAAATTATATGAATAAGATAAAAGATATATATATCCATATTTCATATATTAGAAATATACATATACTAAAATTCTAAAAATTTCTATCAAAATAAACTTATCTTAAGCTAATTAAAAAATAAGTTAGACTATATAAAAAAATTTGTAATCTAAATTTAATTAAATTTATTTTAGACAATTTGTTTAGATTATAACTTATATAAGACTAAATAATCTAAATAGTTAATTTATAGGTTAATCAATTTTATAGAGTAATAATTACTTTTAAAATAAAATAAAAATAATATTATTTTATTAATATATATATATATATAATATATATATATATATATATATTATAAATTAATTTTATAAAAAATTCACTTATTTTAAGAATAAATATTAGAGTTCCTTTTTAATAATTATTTAATGATTAAAAGTAATCATGATTTTATACCAATAAATTAAAAGAAATATAATAATAAAAAAAGTAAATTTTTAATTTTATTTTAGGACGAATAAATTTATTTTTTTTGTATTTATATATTAAATCATTAAAAAAATTAATTTTATTAATATAATTTAAAATTAAAAATATATTTTATTTTTATAATTTTTAGTAAAATCAAAATTGATTTATTAACCTGTTCTAATATAGAAGCAGGTTATATTTAAAAATATAATTTATTTTAAAGAATTTCAGTCATCCATCTTTTTCATGACTAATGTTTTTTTTTTTAAACGGTCATAGTTGTATTTATTTGATTAACTTTGGTTGAGGATTTGAATCAAATGGCTCATATATATATATATATATATATATATATATATATATATATATATATATATATATTTTGGCTTGTTAATTTTTGAAAACTCTTTTATATAGTTTATATTTTTAAAATTTATGCAATTACGACGAAGCTTGATTAAGATTAACCTGTGGTAAAAGAAGAAAATGAACTATAACACCTGTGCCTGTGTAAAAATACATTAGAAATGAAACGAGAGAGAAGATTAATAATAGATTGGTGCGTTTTTCCTTTTGTGTAGTGGCTCTCTGCTGTACCCGATCCTATCCACCACCCACCACCCACCACCCTTCCACTGCTTCTCTCACTCTCGCCATCTTTACCATTTCCTTGCCACTTCCCAAACAACAACCCAATGAAAAACCCAGTACCACCCATGAGTAAACCAAAGTTTTTCATGCATTAAATGTTGTTACTTTCCTATGGGAATACGTATTCTTTAATGTGATTTATTAGAAGACATGCATATATATGACGTATGCCTTGACTGATTCGTCTTCATGTAGCATGAAGGGACACCGGTTCTTTGTAATTTCTTCTTCGTAGTCGCACATTCCAAGTTCTGCAATAAATGATTTTGTGATTGAATTCGTTGTTTGGAAGAAAAGAGAGACCACAAAATGACATCCAATAATAAAACATGGGGACAGATTTTAACTTGGGTGTGGCCCATTACCATGATGTTCTGAGAAACTGTTTGTTTGAATTTCACGTGCACTATTGGGATGAGTAATTGACCTAAAAGCGCCATTAATAAATAATACTGCCAATAACTTTTTATACACGACAGTAGTAGAGTTATTGTATGATCCTGGCGTTGAAACGAGGGTGCACCCACACCCTGACCTTCATGTTTGACTTGCTTCATTAGTATCACTTCCATTTCAGCCATAAATGCAGCCTTCAAAAGTCTTGTTAATTGAGAGAGAAACCTCACATACCACTGACTAGTAACTACCAATTACCCGAAAAAAAAATTATGATGGTTGAGGGTACGTTGTTTTGGTAGGAAGCACAGTACCAGTTAATGATCAGTAGTGGTGACCACAGTGATGGATGTGGGTGGCCCAGTGTCAATTTCATAGAAGAAAGAATAGGAAAATCAAAAGTTAACCAACAAAGAGGTGGTGTAATAAGAAGCAAGATGAGTTTGGCAAGTGAATAATGAGGTTTAATTAATGAATAGATTTGTTGTAATGTGTGTGTAATGGAATGGTGGTGGTGTCGGGTGGGGGGTATCTATCAGTTTTAATATAGCAGTTGTGTAGATATGATCCGAGTCACCCCACCATGAGCAATGTAGAGTAGCCAGCAGTGTGGTGTGGATCTGCTGTGACAAGTGCCTGCGGGTGTTGTTTACCACTTTGGGTCGCATGCACAGTGATGATGGCCCACGGTTATAGCAGTGATTTAATATAAGCCTGACGTGGCCTTTATTTGTCGGTGCTCAATATCAGAAAGTTTGTTGCAGATGCTGTCATAACTCACAACTCAACTCATACGTATGTCTCTCTCTCTCTCTCTCTCTCTCTCTCTGGTGGAGTGATGCAATTTGCAAACTTGTAAGCAACTTTTCATGTGGTTGTTGCACGCAATAAACCAGTTTGGTTCAATAAGAAGTTTTAACCCATCAAAGGGTTAATTTGGCAAAATTCAATGGAACGTACATGTGTTCAAATTGGGTAATATGCTGTAAAATAATAGTTACTGTATGTCTTATTAATTATTAATATATACATATATTCATTTCGACAATAATAAGTAGAGATCTCATTTTTTTTACTCTTTTGTGTCCTGTTGTCTCTATCTTTTTATCACCTTTTCCTTCGTGTCATTGTTTTTAGTTCCTTACATAAAATATTAATTACCTTTAATTTCTTAAATTTAATATAATATCATGATAATATAATTAAATATTACCATATCAAAGCACGTTTTGTAATTCTAAAACACTACAAACTTGTTGATAATGTAAGGTTGCTATATATTTGTTCATGAAATTGAACTTAAAAAAATGCAATTTATTTTCTAACTCTCAACCCTTGCCCATTTAAAGTCCCATTTGACATTCAATAAAAAACAAAAGGTTAAACGAGTTACCTCATCCTAATTTTAATGAATATTAAAATAATATATATATATATATATATATATATATATATATATATTTTTTTTTTTTTGAAGTGGGATGCACCTATGTGAGTGAGGTGGTACAAATATCATGTGTATGGTTGGATCTTATTGGAATGTTGATATATGTGTTGCTATGTTAAATGGGTTAATGTGTTAGTTTATTGCACAATCAGTTTAGTAATTAAGGACTAAAATCGATTAAATATTTGTTTAGGAACTAAAAATGAAAATATTAAAAATTAAGAAAATAAATTATAATTATAGAGAATAAAATGAGATGTTTTAAACTATTGGATATGAAAGGAACAATTATTATAACTATACACTATAAGAGTACCAAAAGTTTAAAACTAGACAAATCACATTTATATATAAAATTCAACAAAAGAAAACTAAAAATAAATATATATAAAATTTGGTAATATGTCCTTAGGGGTTGGTTGAGTACAATATTAAAATCAAGAAATATGTGATATGGCAAATCAATATACATGTCCACATTTGATGAAAAATATACACTACTGCAAAAAAGTCTTTTTACATCGGTTAAAATGGGCTTTCGACGTCGGTTAAAGCGGCGACATAGATAGGGGGTCATAGAAAGTAAGACTTTCTACGTCGGTTAATAGGAACTGACGTAGAAAGACCTACTTTCTTTGAGCTATTATGATCGGTCAAAATGGTTATGATCGGTCATAGAGCTATTCTGATCGATCATAACTGGTTCTGATTGGTCATAGAAGGACTTTCTACGTCGGTTAGTCAGGGAACCGACGTAGAAAGTCTTATTTTGTATGAGCTATTCTGATCGATCATAACTGGTTCTGACCTGTCATAATACTTTCTATGTCGGTTAACACTTATAACCGACATAGAAAGTCTTACTTTCTATAACCCAGTATCTATATCGGTTAACAGTAACCATTATTGTATGTGTTATCAATGTCGGTTATGCCTATAACCGACATAAAATGTTACACTTTCTATGTCGGTTATGCCATTAACCGAGCGTAGAAGTACTTTCTACGTCGGATAATGACATAACCGACGTAGAAAGTGTTATTTTTTTAAAATACTCGCATTTTATTTACAGATGCTACCTTTCTTCGAGTAGACTCTGCCTATTCATCACGGTTCCAGACAAATAACCACAGATCCGAGTACAGACGGATATGCACAGTTCATATATAAATTTGCTACAAATATATATCCGAGTACAGACGATTCGAGTCACAGACGAGATATGTACATATGAAACACATTGAAATGAATATATGTACAGACGAGATCCAGTTCTACCCAGTTGAATAAATTTCCTATGAATATATGTAAATTTCCTAACTTAAATCAATTCTATCTAAATTGTTACAAGTTAAATTTCCTATGAAGATTGAATGCTTAAAAGGAAAGAAGCCCACTGCTCTCTGATATCGTCTAAGACTTCAATCTTCATTGGAGATGAGTCTGTAAATTCCTACATATTGAAACATTTCAGATTTAGAAACCATTTACATAATTGGCATATTTGACTTAATTATAGTATATTTACCTCCCTCCATGAGCCCATAATATTTTTGTCTACGATGGTGTGCATGTGCTTCATCACATAATACCCACACTCATGGCTTCCCGGTTGCCGTGGACACTACAAGTTAAATACATGTCAGTTTAACTTTAAATGACAAATTGAACAATAGTAAGAGGTGTTTGGTCACCTTTGGTGCAATATACGTCAACTTCTTTCTAGCATGAGATGGAAGACCTTGCAACCTTAGGTGAGCTTCCAAAGCTCTACAAAAGGACAAATAATTTTGGTGTAAGTAGTGCACATATGATACAACAATTAAAAAAACCAAACTTACGCGTCTATGTGCTTTCTAATATCCAAATCATTTGCTTTCTTATGTAATGAACACAAGAGAATCACAAGAAATTGCCGAGGAACAATGATTATGAGTCGCCAATGACCCCTGCACGTTGAAATAATATTAGTAAAATTTCAGTTTTACATAAATGTGCATTAATTTATAAGATGTATACTTACCGATGCAAGTAAGGTGCTAAGTAGACTTCTTTGCCCCCGCTTTGAAATGCCTCTATTAAGTACGTTTGCACCTCTTCAGCTTTATTCCCAATGGACTCGAATGGCAACAGTGGTCAACAAATCCATAGAGAAAGCGGATCTTCCTCTCAACACACAAACGATGTAAATACCTTCAACATTGAAAATAAATAAAGTTATAAAATAATATACCAAGTGAGAATATAAAAATATATGTAAATATACTTACAATTCCCAAAGCCGCAACACCGATACACATAACATATCAAGTATCAGCGAGAAGATCAAAAATATCCCTTTGGAGTAAGAAAAAGGGATCGTCTTGGTCCTGCATACGACTTCGGGTGGCATATCTAACCGTATGGGAGTGGTCCCGATAGTCGCGCGCTGCACCGAGTCGCTGTAAAGCGGATGGTGGTGGTGGTGATTCATGCACAACTTCCTTTGCTTTTTCAACCTCTTCCTATACAAGTACCAAAAATCAATAACATTAATATACATCAACCTATCAAAAAATAATAAGTACTATCGTTCAATGCATAAATCAACCCGTGCATGTGTTGGGATGGGTCTTGTTAATGAAACCGGCCATAAGATAAAATGGCCAGGTGCCTGTCCCACTCGTTTGAACCTCTTCAGTGGGAATAGGGATTGGGGCAGCGAGCATCCCGGACATCTACAACCACCACTCGATCATATCATCTCCAATACTCGGTGGTGGATGGTTGACCCCAATGCATACATTTTCCCTAAGGTAAACAAAGGATAAAATATTTTAGACTATATAATGCGTAACACCGTACCAAATACATGTCAAAGATATAATACGTACCGTATGCCACCAAATGCTCGGGAGGACCCGCAACATACAACCGACGATCAGCAGTGTCGTAGGAGCAACCTCTGCCCTCTATCGGGAGCATCACAACTCTCCTTTGTGCCGACATGAATCGGGATGCCGCTCGTGCGGGATAGAAGGTTGAGATGACAAAGATGCCAACTCGCTCGCATTGAGCTCAATAACTCGCCTTCAAGTCGAGTACACCTCATCTCGAATCTCCTTCCTAATTTGTTGTTTGAGCGACTCAAACTCTTGCTCATTCAGACTGCCTCAAAGAAGGAGTTGCCACGGGTGGGGCACCAAAGTACCGTCTCGAGGCCCACCCTCGTCCAAGCACCACGAACACGTCCAGGATGCTCAGGGTACCAATGGCCACTGCCAATATATCCCGACGGCCATGTGGGTGGAATGATCCCCGAGTGCTCGCTCAACCAACTCATCCTACAACACAAACGAATGATTTTTTAGCAAATACAAATGCCTATTGTAGTATAACATATATAATTAGTTTAGGATATGCTACTTACAATACGTTGAGCAACAACATTAGTTTGCTCGTGATAAGTAATTCCCCGATGAGGTCTCAGCGAGCTCTCTTCCATTTATCATGGCGTGAAGGGCGGGTGACGGAACTCACAACCGAGTCATCTCGAAGGTAGACTTGAAGAAGTCTCCTTCAGCATCTTCTCCTCCAATTTCTCATAACCCCCACGAGACAACTCGTGGGGGTGGATATTCTTCCTCTCGAATATCCCGTGCCTTCGCCTCTTGGCCTGTTGCATTCCATGTTAAATACCAAATTTAAAACCTCTATTTTAAAAAAATTACCGCAAACAAATGACAAATGTGCTAACCTCGAAACCTAGGGTCTAATCGCTGAGTCCGAAATGCCCGCCATGTCTCCTCATCCAAAAACCGATACTCGGTCACATGGGTTCTTGTTGCTCAATGCCCCATATATGTATCGACCGGTCGATCACTCTTAAAACCTCTCCAGCTGTTCCCAAGCATATGAGATCCACTTTGTCCTCAACAAAGTGGTGTTAGGGACATCATATGTGACCTACACAATAAAAATAACATGAAGTTCCCAAAAAAGTTAAATATATATACATGTTAAATGCTCAAGTAAGAGTAGGTACCAGGATACTCGCCAAATCCGGTTCTTCGATGTCTCGGAACATGGTCCCAATCCTCAATAAGAATACTAACCTTGCTTCTCCCAAGCAAGGCCACATAGCTACCGAATCTAGCACTGTGCTCTCCAGTGGCTCTACCGGCTTGCATGTCAAACTGGATAGGCAATTTCGATCGGAGCTGCGACCGATATTCAACTCCATCAATCGTGTAGCACGCCTACCCTTTTTCCTGGTAAACGGTCGACTCGATCACCACCTTGTGTAGGAGGGGGACTGTGTAGGAGGAGGGGTACCAGATGAATCTGCCATATCTGTGTTCAAAGAAAAAAATAATAGTTATTAGTTTAGACAATATGATCGAAGATAAACAAAAAAGTGCATACATTAAAAAATAATACATTAAAAAAATTTCATACATTATCAAGTTGGAGCATTCTCCCAAAATCCTTCCATATGGTCATAACGGATGGCATGCACATCATCTATTTCTACATTAACACTCAAGTTTGGCATATTTGAAGAGAAACATGGTGTCTCGGGTATATCAAGTACTAATTCATCATTCTCATCGAAGTATACATGGGTTTTCCTTGTAGAACCACTCGACCATCCTTTGTTAGCGGGATCAGTGACATAAAACACTTGTTTTGCCCGAGATGCCATGATAAATGGTTCTTCGGTATAACGAGTATTTTCAAGGTTAACCAAGGTAAATCCAAGATCATCGGTGAAGATGCCAGTATTAAAATCAACCCACTTGCATTTAAAAATAGGTACTCGAATATCGTGTAATCTATTACCCAAATCTCTTCAATTACACCAAAGTAGCCCATTGACGCCCTTATCGGATATTTATCCTTTGAACTCGAGAAATGCATTGATTCAGCCACCACCATGACTCCACTATTTTGCATTGTGCTTATTTCATCTTCTCCCTTTGTATAAAATGAATAGTTATTTATATCATACCCACCCCAACATATCACATCAAAGTTTGGCTCACATGCTAGCCACTTTAGTGTATCGAAGCT